GGGCACGACCCTCAAGACCTCAATTCTCTAAACCTCGATCGTTACAAAATGGATGGTTATTTTCTCTTTAAATTGCTCTCTTCATACACATCTTCTTTCTCTTTGTGCGTGTTTGTTTGTTTTCGTGTGGCTCGGTTGTGGTAATCCAAATCCAAGAGTCAAGTGTCATTAGGTTTTAGACTAAGATAAATAAAGGGAAATATTGGGTTCATATATTTTATCCCATATCACTTGGTGAAGTTTGTCTACAGTACATTATAAGTGCTTCGTTTGTTTGTTGAATGTACCACACCTTCTATATTCATGATTTCCTTGACCAAAGCGGCCGGGACACATCTGGTATAATATCTCGACGGTGAGGATGGAGTATGACAAAAAATACAAGCTTATTTTCTTACTTGCAAAAACTCTCTTAAGGGGATAGGCACCCACTAGTCTATACTACTAATAAAAGTATTTTAGATGAATTTTTTTTTATTTTCTCTACTATCCTTAAACAAAATTATAAACACAATTATACCTCACACTAATAATTTCATTTAAAACTTATGGTTTAAATCATAAAAATTTGACATTGTGTATACCTTTAAAGAAAACTACAAATTCTATGATTACCAATATATCTATCTATCTATACTATTAATCAAAAGTACTTTAATATGAAAAAATTTTGATTTATTATTTTACCCTCATAAAAAATTAAAAAGGTCACTCTATTCTTTCACACTAAATATCTAAATTATAAAAAAAAATGTATATGTATCAGTATAAGTTTTAACAAAATATTCAAAAAAACCTTTAAATATTCCATCAATATAATAATACTCACTTCATTTAAAAATATAATACTATCACTACATATGCATATTTTATTTTTCATCAAAATATTTAAACCTCTATATATATTTTATTTTTCATCAAAATGTTTAATCCTTTTATTTTTCATCAAAATTAATTTTTTTTTAAATTTTAATATGCTTTATAATATATATTATAGCTTTGTATATTATATTTTATCTCAATTGACCAAGATAATCCTAAATATAGTAAGGTTCTAATATGATTGGTATATTGATAATTATTTTTATTTTATTCAATGATTTATCAGTGGAATCTAAATCAAATTAATTTTTTAATTATCTATTCTCTATTTATAAATGTCAATTTTTATGAAACTTTTTGATTGATTATATTACTCTTAAAAAATATATGCATGATTATAAGTTTTAACAGAATATTCAAAAAACAACCTTCAAAAACTACATCAATATAATATTACTCATCTCATTTATAAGGATAATATTATGGCTACATATATATATTTTACTTTTCATCAAAATATTTAATCATTTTATTTTTAAGATAAAAAATAATGTATATATAGTTTTATATTATTTTTTAGTCACAGTAAACTTTTTTAAATTGTGTTAAGATTTTATGTGAAAACTTAATTTTTTTTTAAATTGTAATATGATTTATAATATATTATAGCTACCTAACTAATCCTAAATACGGTAATTTTTCAATACAATTGGTATATTGATAATTATTTTTACTTTATTCAATAATTTATAAGTAGAATCTTTATCAAATTAATTTTAAAAAATGTAATTTTCAACATCACTAAAAAAATCATTTTCAATTACAAAATTATAGAGAAAAACATAACTTTAATTATTTATTTTATTTGTTTTGTCATTTTTCTTAAAGTTAGAATAACAAATCTTGAAAACATATAGAGTTTTCAAACATTCTTTAGTAGAGCATGAGCGATGAAAAAATAAGTTTGATAAATCTGAGATGATATTTAATTCAAGTACACACATATACTAAATATTTATTTATTAATTTTTTTAAAAATAAATTATTCACGTGGAGTGCGTGATGCGTTGCTAATTTAAAAAAAATGGCATATAGATGGATAATGTAAAATTCAGGTAAATATGAATTTTTATGAAAAATGATAAAACGGTATTTTGCCACTTCGGTATGGGTTGAAGACCCAAATTTTTTTAGAACTCGGATGACGAAATGGATCTCATCGTTAGATTCGTCTCGCGAAATCTAGTTATCCAATCAATTTTCATCGAATTCTGAGATAGTCAGATTTTTTGCGTTTTACTGGGCAATCGAGTGTCGCGTGACCTAAAACAAAACATAAAATTAAATTTCAAAAATTGAAAAATAATTTAAAGCTAGTTTAAATAAAAATATTTTGAATTTTGAATCGAGACGAAATTTAATCGTTTTAGAACAAAATCGGATCTAATAATGGAGGACGTGTGGCGCGATGAGAGCCAAGCATTCCAAGGGGTAAAAATAGGGGAGAAAATCAAATTTTCTCCCCATTTCAGTTGGGTTTTTACATTGGCAAGGGAAGAGAGGTAAAAAAAAAAAGAGTTACAACTGCTCTCTACGATCTACGACATATCTTTGGTCGAATCGACTTATGCCAAAAATTAAAGTTCCTTTACACGACGAGGGTTACGCCTATGCACCAAAAATGACGGATTTCACCAAAATTTCAAAGAAGAAATTTAGGAAAATCAAGGGGTTGAGCTTGAGTTGTATTCTTGAGGGGTGCTACAACTTGTTTTACTCTTCAAGAGTTAAGGTTCTTTCCTAACTAGGTTTATTTCCAACCTAAGATTGTTATATAGAATGGGTAGGGTGTTAGAGGTGTAATCTCTTCTGTGATACTTACCTATGATAGTTGAAATGTAAAAAATGGGTATAGAAATAGATAAAATCAATTCTAATTTGAATTGCGTATGTAAAAATTACTTAATGTGATTTCTTGAAAAATATGATATATATGGATGTTTGATAAAATGGCTTGAATGATATATGTGGGTGTTGATAAAATACCTTGAATGATGTATATGGGTGCTTGATAAAATGTCTTTAATGATAAAAGTATGTTGTTTAAATGAAATTGGAATAACATGCTTGATGATGTTATAAATTGTAATTATATGCTTATGATATAATTGACAATTGGGAATGTTGAATGAGATAGAATGTTATTTATTATGTGCACATGACATATGCAACATGATGTAAAATTGTAATTGAAATCTTAGTTGCATAAGGATAAGAAATACAAATTGTACATTTATATTTCATATGTACGAGAAACATCGCATTCGTGGGCATTGACATGAGTGTGGGTGTGTGTGTGTATGATTTGATCAAACATCATCCTTGGTGGATGATGCGTGGACTCTGGATAGTTGGGTCTATAGTTCGATTGAGTCGCACGGTTTGCATTGAAAATAGGATCGGGGTTAGCAAGAAGAGTTAAATTGTCCCTCGGGTGCAAGACCTGGTGATTTGGATACACACTCCGTTGGTGTAGAGTTCATAAAGTGTGTCGGTGTACGCGGAGCCATTGATAAAAGTCTATTAATGTCGTGTCGATTGGGTGTCCGTTGGTGTGAGTCGATAAATATCAACCCCAAGAAAGACACAGGATTTAAATTGGTCATTGGAAGTGCAACATCAATTGTGGGAGCTTGGAATGTCCAGATACATACGCATGACATTGCATGTGTTGAGGGAACCGGTAAAGGCTCGGGTTGAATTGCATGTATGAGTCTCATCTCATAACATGGCATGACATAGAGGATCCATTATGAATTGCATATTCTTGAATGAATTCATTGTTGCTTGTTAATTATATGTGAACATTTCATATGCATTTAGGTTGGGGAGTAGCCTCTTTAAGAGATACCCTATTGAGTGTGACTCACCCTTTACGGGAACAACATTTTAGGTGCGGGACATGCGTCGATGGAAAACTCTCAGTCGGACCCTAATTGTTGAAGAAAAGCCGACTTGCTGCTTTTGAAACATGTTTTGTAAAAACTATTATGTTATTTAGTTTGGACATTTAATATTGTAAAGGGTTATAAAGTGAACTCATATGAATTGTATTTTACTTAAAATTGATGTTATATGAGTTTGAGTTGATGTTGTCAAGGGTTAGAATGGATTGGAATTGACAAAGGATGGAAACGAAGGAAAATTGGTAAGACCTACCGGTAAAACGATGAATTCTTCTACCGGTCGAACTTTTCCACTAGGCTTTTTCTACCGGTAAAACTTTGATAAACCTACCAGTAGAATATTTCCAATAGTTTTTTCTATCGGTAGAATTTGTACATCTTCTACTGATAAGTTTTGTTAAAATCTCAAATTTTGAAATGTTTTTACTAGTCCTTTGAATTTGGAGCCCTTTTATTCAAATGATGTAAATGAACAATAATTGAGTATGAATTATGGTATATTGGACCTTGGGAGGGTCATGTGGTTGAATGGTATACAAATTATGCGGTTGGGAATACTCGGTACAAGGAAGACTCTGTCCAAACTTTATATTGTTGAAATCCCGATAAATGGGATGTTGTGTCGTGATATTGGGTTTTGTGACATTCATAGATATTTTTGCGAGTTGATAGGTGATCAAATTTTGGGTTTTATCAAATTTCTGGTGTTATACGGATTTCATGTCCACTTAGTTTATTAGTTGATATCATGTTGGGTAATTTATTAAGCAAGTTTAGCGAATCCATCGTTCTTCACTCATACCCATTAAATATAGATTCAAACCCGTTACATTGTATCTAAAATTGTCACACTAATTTACAGCAGTACATTATTGCTACTTAAAAACATCACTTGTTTGAAGAATAAAATGAACATAACTTCGGAATAAGGCCATTCTGCTTTGATATTATAGAAAAAAAATAATATTACACTGACAAAAACATCTTTATTACGCTACCACATTATTTGATCTATATTTTTTTATCTTATTTCTTGATCAGAGTCGTAGAAAAAAAATTCATCCTACCCACCAATTATTTGAAAAACAGGAAAATCTAGCAAACAGCATCTGTCATAATCAAATGAGTCTATTGCTTTTCGGTGGATTTTAGCTGTTTTTTTATAGTGGCATAATCAAGTGCATGAATTTCAAGCAATATTAAAAGGCTAATATGGCACAGACCATTAAACTTGAAACCGACAGTAGCATTACAAAAATATTTATATAAAGTCGGCGCAGATTTTGGGAACTAAAGAAACATAACATTCAGTTGACTCCCGAGTCCGACAGAGATATACATACTTAAACTTTATTCTCATAAAATGATTATTTCTAAGTGGCAAAAAAAAAAAAAAAGCAATTCTGATGTCTTAAATTTGAACTTTTGACAATCTTTTGACATCAAATCATGAGAAATTTATTTTTCGTGAAACCCTAATTTAGACTAAACTGAAGAGATAATTAGTCGAAGTGGCGTAAACTCGCTTCGACACCCCTAACCGTTGAACCCAAAAGAAAAAAAAATGGATGAATCACACTTTATACTCCGAAAGATTTCAAAATACTCATAATTTTCTCACATTGTAATGTTAATATCATAAAATAGTTGTAATGTGACCCTCACACTTACTTCCGTTATTATTTTCATCAAATCTCGCTGCAATTAAAGTAGGGTCACTTAACAGATTAGACAAAAATTGTAACGGAAGTTAGAATGAGGGTCATATTGTAACTATTTTACGACATTGAAGATGCAATGCAAATTGAGAATTTTAAATCGTTTAGAGTGCAAAGTGTGATTGGTCAAAAAATAAAAAATAGAACGTGTTAATGATGTTGCGGATCAGGTCCCCCTGGACTAGATCGCATCGTATCATATCGGCTCATTATCCTTGCATTGTTTCTCAAGCTATGTCTGAAAGTCTCTGCCGCGGCTTCAAGCACTGCCCCGTGTGACTCGATTGGCTCTGTGGCAGCCTCAAGCACCGCCCGGTGTGACTCGGTTGGAATCCAAATGGTTCTCTCTTCCGGTGGATTGAAAGGGCAAGTTTCCGACCCGATGAAGAAAAGCAAGATCAAAGTAAGGCACAACCAGAAGGTCCAGCTAGCCATTTTTACACTTACGGTTATGATCAATTGAGCTAGACAAGTATTCAAAGCTGTGGTAGTCGAGAATTTATAGGCTACCAGAGTGCTAAAAAGGTTCATACTTTTAAGTTATGAGAGAGGAAAGGTAGAAAAGAGAAAAGGCGAGAGACAATCTGGGCTTTGAATGAAACAAAAGACAACAAAATTTCAACAACGTTGTTTATTCAATGGTGACTTGTCCATTGATCTTGTTTATGAGCAAAGATTGCATATGAGCCTTAAGTTCTTAGTTCTCCAATGCCTTCTCTTAGTATTGTGTTGCATGCTGATGGATATCTAGTCAGGACTTTGGCCTTAATCTTTTGTTTGCTAGGGAGTCATGTGTGGCCTTCTTAACTTATGTCTCTAAAGTTATGCCACTTTTTAGCTACATGGAAAACTGTCCTTATGCTCTTATGTGAATTATGTTATGACCCTTCGATTTTGATCTCGATCTCACTTTAATTATCTCTCAACTGTTGAGTTTTTTACAATGTCCGTCAATTGTTAGATTCGATTTCATGTTGCACCAAAAACCTAATATCCATTAGGTCCAAAACGAAAAAGAGTTAATAGAACTTTTAGGGGCTGTTTGTTAATTGTTTTTATCCTATGTTTTGTGTTTTTGTTTTAAATTTTTGTCAAAAATGAAAACAAAAATATGTTTGGTAACTGTTTTTTATTTTGTTTTGTTTTCGTTGTATTGGAGACAAAGACAACAAAATGGGAACAAAAAATTTTTGTTCCAGGAAACACGCACAAAAAATATTAATGAGATCCGGGTATCGAACTCCCTTAGTAGCAAAAATTGTCTTTTTTTTTAACGTATTTAAACCCACCTCATTTATCTCTCCTCTCCATCGCTACCTCACTCTCTCTATTGAAACACTCCATCGCTGCCTCACTCTCCCCATTTTCTCACCATCACCGACAAATCTCCTCTCCTCTCTCTCACTGACGGAGGTAAGCCCTTCTCTTTCTCTCTCTTTCGCCCTCTCTCATCTCATCTCTTCGTTCTCTCTCTATATATATACACACAGATCTGTGTATATATACACAGATCTTTGCACATATATGCACCGATCTATGTGTGTTGCGTGTGTTTTCTGTGTGATTGGTGTGTGTGTGTGTGTGTAATCCATTTGACCCAACTTTTAAATCCCTCTCTCTTCAAATCCCTTATTCTTCCTCTATTATCTTTAATTTTCTATCTAATTGTGCGAGCCTGTGGATCTGAATTTGAAGAAGTTTCGATTCCTCCTCCTTTGATGGTTGGAACTTCTGAGGCAAGTATCTATTTAGCCCTCCAATAAATATCTGTCTCTTGATTACAATATTTTCAATGTGCTCAAACTTCAAATTTGGTGATTTCAGGCATTATTTGATTTTATTGCTACGGCACTTGCAGAATTTGTTGCCACAGAAGGTGAAGATGATAATCTTTCACCCGGTAAACAAAGGGAGATTGGTTTTGCATTTTTCTTTTCAATTAGCCAATCATCAATTGCATCAGGCACTCTCATTAAATGGACCAAGGGATTCTCTATAGAAGAAGTGGTTAATCTCAAATACCTTTACTGTTTTATGTGTAATCATAATTAATTATTCGGTCATCTCTATATGCAATAACTACTTTAATTCTGGATCCAACTTAAGTGGACTAATACTATTTAACGAATTGATAATAAATCCATCTATTGGAAATTTTGTTGAGCATAAATACTTATGTTCTGTTCTGTCTTTCTTCAATGTGATTATTGGCAATAGTCATGCTAATTTCATTTTTTTTTTGCTTCAAGCCTTAGTTTGGTGATTCTTTTCTTCCCTTGTGGCTAGACACGGACTCACTTGTAAAGAAGGCAGTGAAAAGACACTGAAAAAACTTGTAAATATTTGGTGTAAAATATTTGACCTACATAGTTTGGTTTAAATGTTTGTTGATATATGCTCTTGAACTTAAGACCATACAATGTGCATGTTTGGTTTGCTAATTTCACTTAGTTGTTGTAATTAATTGTCACGAGAATGGGAAGAAAAAAAAATAAAGAAAGAAAATGAAGAAGCGAGTATTTTCGAGATTAGTTGTTTGGAATGGAGCCTATATGTGTTTGTTTGTCCTTGGGCATGTCAAATGTAGTTGTTATTATCTTATAATTTCAACCTGTATGCACTTTAATATGTCATATCTTATCAGAGGCATATCAACATGTTTCTTTGCATAGAATTTGAAAAGAAAAGTCTTTAACTAAGAATTACATGCTAGGTTGCAATGCATAGAGAGGTTATTCTTATATTGTCTTCTTTTTGGTTATATTTGTTATACTATCTTGAATATGGCTACTGGGGTGATAATGATGAGAGTGGTTGTGGTCTTTTTGATGGGTTGCTGGACTGGGTTTTCTGCTTTGTTTCAATAGATATCTACTATTCTGGCATTTTTCTGCTGTGAGTTGAGTTGAGAGCTTTGGTGCAATAACTGAGCTATAGGATCATAGCACAGTAAGGAGATGTTGGTTCAGCAGCTAGAGGAAGCAATTCTAGACTATGGGTTATGTCAGCAGGCAAGTTATGGTTGCTTGGGCCATAGATTTGGATAGCTGGCAGCCGGACTGTTTTGATTAGTTTTTGGTTTTAATAATTTTTGAAGGATTAAAGTCAACTCCTTTGTAATTAGAAATTTTGAATTCTTTTGCTTCTCATAACTCCTTTGTAATACATGGTTGTAAATCATTTTTCATAAAATAAAGTGTTGATTTGTTTGAAAACAAAAAATTAGATATTATAACACATATTTAGGATAACACTTGAGGTAATTACTAAACATATTTTATGTTTTTATTTTCATAATTTGATAGACAAAAATGACTATCAAACATGTTTTCTGTTTTAGTGTTTATCACAAAATAGAGACAAAAAATTATCTCTGTTTTTGGTTTTTTGAAGACGCAAAAACAAAAATTTTACCAAACGACCCCTTAGTCTCTAAAGTATATTTGTTTTATCAATTTGGTTTATAAAATTTTAATTTGTGTCACTTTGGTCCTTAATTAGACACTTTTTAAAATTTTTTTAACAAAAGTGACCACGTGTCACTATTTCAGACGATATTACATGTTCAACACTTGATCATTCTATCAAAAATTTAATGTCCGTCTATGCATGAATCATTTAAATACGAATTAATTGTTTTAAAAATAAAATTAATATTTTAAAGACTAAACTAACAAAAACGTACAAACTTTAGAGACCGATAGTATTATTAACCCAACAAAAAAAATATGTGCGTTAGATTTTGGAATAAGGTAAAATAGAATCATATTGATCGGGGATAAAGTGACAATTATTCTATCCAGTTTATTATTGGAACAATGTGAAATTAATAATCGTGGTTAAAGATGTAATGCAAAAAACATAATAGTTATGTGAATATTTTAAAATAATGGCAGTTGTAAAGGGTGTTAAAGTATAATTTTTTTCTTTGTCTCTTTCAAGTTTTAACTTTTTCTATAGCTCACCTTCCCCACTCAACTTATCATAGGTTTGAAAACATAGTCCTGTCAAACTACGACTAAAATTTTTGGCAAATCGAGTCAGGAATTTGGACCATACTAACCTTTAATATTTCTGTTAGAAAGTCATGTGTGGACTGATGTTGACTATAAGATTTGCAGGGAAAAACTTTTTTTTTGGATAAAATAATAGTTGGTCCCTTTGGATTTTAATTTGGTGTTTGAAGTTTTAATGGTATCAATTTAGTGTCCCATCTATCAATTTTGTCACAATTAAGTCTTTTTGTTCATTTCTACCATTAGATCAAAACGAAAACATATGATTTAATGATTGAAATAGATTAGACTAAACTAGTCTTCCGATGATCTAACGATAAAAATAGATGAAAAAACTTAATTGAGATTAAATTGCTAGTCGAGAGATTAATTTGGGTCAATTAAAATTCAGAGACCAAATTAAAACCAAAAATAAAGTTTAGAGATTAATTATGATATTTAACTTTTATTTTTTCTTTATTCAAAAATTTTCTTTATGATTTCTCCATACACGGGCTAAGATTTCATACATCTTAGCCTTTTCAAACATTATAATCACAATTTAAAGTATCGGTCGATACCAAATTGAGTCGGCCAAATCATATCCGACTCGACACTTTCGATACCGTTATACAATACATATAAACCCCGAGTCTAGTGAGACTCGACCAAGTCGTCCGAGTTATATCCGAATCAATCTCGAATCACCAAGTTATCATCACCAAACCAACCGATACGATTTCATGACGCTGCAATATGACTTGAATATTTTGTTTAGGTTTAAATTTAAGTTTTTGTGGGATTATTTTTTATGAATTCACATTTTTTGTTTAGGCTACTACGACACACGTCTTAAAATTATGGGGTTTTCGTCAAAATGAAACTTAAAGTGCATTCTTTTATTTGTTTAATGATTGGGCCGGCCCTGCCACCCACCACCACTTAATGTAAAAGATAAAAGAAGAGTTTTTTTACATATATTCACAAAAAAATTAAGTGTGGTGATATAGACCCATATCATTTTGTTTAGTGAAAGATGTGTTTGAAGTGTTTTATAAGTTGAGACCATTAAATTTTTATTATATAACGTATTTTAAAGTTGTGTGTGCCTAACAAATCTGAGAGATAATATAAATAATAGTAAAGTTGATGACTCCCATGATGTGGTAGCCATATGATCCGTGTCTCGATTGAGATCATTTTCGTTGTAATTTGACTCAATAAAAGATTATATATCATAAATTGAAAAGTTGTTATACTTTCATTCAATAATAAATTATTTATTGAAATGGGTCCCCTAATTATAAGTGGATGCCTCACCTATGCAATCTTGTACACCCTGATTCGATGCGATGGCAATTGGGAAAGTGTGGCGATACACATCTTCTAGAATAAAAGATGGTGAGATGTGTGATCTAAGAGAGTTGATTGTGGTGACCCAGTCACACATCGTTTGACAAAGTATGTG